CTCCCTCCCTCCCTCCCCAGCTTAGTTCTCCTCGCCCACACCCCACCCTTCCCACTACCTTCTGCTGCTACAGAGACTAGTGCTGTTCTGAAACTCCATCATTCTCAGTTTCTGTTCCTCATCCTGAATTCCTCCCTTTTCTGGTAACAGTTGGTATTTCAGCCCCAAACAGAGCTCTTCGTATCAGAAATTGTGCTGTCCACCCTGATTTGGCAGAAAGAAACTGTCTAACAAAGCTCTTAGGTTTGCAGAGTACCACATAATTATAGGAGGTGTTTTAGAAGAAAAGAGCTACAAACTTAGAGTCCACTTCAGCTCCTCCCCAGACAACTGGATGAGTACAGTGGGTTCTGCATGTATTCTATCTGCCCAGGCTATTCTTAACAACTTGTAGCTGTAACAGCCTTTGGTCCTACATGTTGTTTGGAAATTGTTTCTGTCTGTATTCCTTTCAAGCTTTGATCATTACAGGTCAGCAAAATGTCTCTTAAAACAGTTTTTTTTTTCTTGTTGGGTCCCACCCAAGTACATCAAATAAAGATTTAAAATAAAAGTTACTATTTGCAACTCAATATGAAAAGCAGAAAAGAAATTGATTATGTAATACCTACAGGATGATTTAAACACTTGCACAGTTTATGTTTCTGACACTATACTTACCATTTTGTAATGTGCTGTGTCTCTCAGTGGCTTTAAATGCAGGAATAACATTACATACCCTTTAGCTCTTTAGACATTTTTACAGCTTTCCCACATTTTCAGAACAGCTCAGTACTTGCCCTTAAAACAGGGTTCCAGACCTCATCTGAGAATGCTTAGTGTAGGATTTTTACAATTTAAAATACATTCTGTTCGCTGCTTCATTTACAGCATTTGACAGGCTGAACAGACTTTTCTGTTTCATTCAAAACACCAAACACATTTATTGCATATAGTACTGGGTAAGAGGGGACATGGCCTAATTCAGATAAAATAAAAATCACTGATTTATGGTATAATAACTTTATGCAGCTGCTGATCTGATTCATCTCCTCCAAAGACACTAAGTTTCAGAAACTGCCAATAAGTGGCACACAGTGGTATGCAGGTTAACTGGGATCAGCACTTCCCCCAACAGGAATGGAGAAGCCATAGAATGGCCAATTTGAATTTGGCTGTACATTATTTGTTTAATGCCAAAACACATGTATATTAAAAAATCTGTGTGTATATATATGCATGTGCATCGAGCCTCACCTTTTCCAAAATAACATGCAGATCTTCTCCTCCAGTGTAGTGTGGGTCTAGAATCAAATATTTTATGTGCCCTGTAATCTCATTCCAAGCCACTCCTAATATTGTGTGAGCCAAAACACCTCCACCTAAAATAGAGGAAACACAAACAGATAAATTTTTTTGTCACTGAGGTTGGCTGAATGTGCAAGGCTTAAATAAAAGCACATCAACACTTTCTACTAATAGATTAGCTTGGTTAGCAAGATGGTTCTGAAGCTGTCCCACATAAGATTCTTCACACTATTAAACAACATAGGGAGTATCAGCTGTAGTAAGTAAAGAAAATAAGTAGAGAATTTACTTTCCAAATTTCTTCCAACTCAGCAAGGCAGGTAAAATCCTCAACACTTCCACCAGATGAAGTCAAGAATATTTCAAACATCTGTTTTGCACTTTATCTGCTGTTTTCTACTAAGTTACATCAATGGATATTAGGGGCAGAGTAGTAACTTCTGACTTCCCTTTCTCTAGCCTGCACACAGGGAAAGGGAATATTTTCATGAGATGGGCACAGGTCAACTCTTGCATGTTTCTTTCACGTAACATGAGGAGTTTACATCCCTGCAATACTGCAGTAATAACTCCACACAACAGCTAGGAACTGCAAAACCCCTGAAAGAACACAAGCAAAAACAATCCCCAAAACCCACCCCAAACGCCAATCTCCATCTCTTCAACGATGACAAATATAAAACCAACACACAAGAGAGCATTACAGGGAAGGCTAAGGTACAGACTAAAAGATTTTTCAATACAGGATTCTAAATTCTTGAAATCCAGACAAAAAGGCTGCTGAAAGGCCAATAATATTCACAGAATCACAGAATGGTTTGGGTTGGGAGGGACCTTAAAGATTATCTAGCTGAAATCCCCTGCCCTTGGCAGGGACACGTTCCACTAAATCAGGCTGCTCCAAGCCCCATCCAACCTGGCCTAGAACACTTCCAGGGACGGGGCAGCCACAGCTGCTCTGGGCAACCTGTTCCAGCTCTTCAGTTCTGATGTAACAGCAGTTTATAAAAACACCACTTAGATTGACTTTTGCTACCATGTTTAGTACTGAGCTTGGGAGAAATAATGAATGAAAAGATACCAGCCAGACTACGTCGTATCATTTTTGAGGCTCCCTTGGGAAAACAGTGATTTTTAATTAATCTACAGTTTTGATTAACTATTGTACAGTAAATTGAATGAGTTCTAATTGAAACGAAATTCAGCACAGGAAGACCACACCCTTTCATCAGCATTCTTCAACACTCAAGCACTTACCAATCATAATTGGAGTTCCTTCAGTCTTGAAATGATTAGCAAGCTCTCTTCCCTGCAAGGCTAGTTCAGAACCCTGGCTAGGTAAGAAAAACAAGAGATTTGTCATTCTCACTAGACTTCATTCTCTAATTATCCATTATACTTGTTAACTGCACAGGTAACTGATTATAAATGGATTATTCCTGTGGAAACTTCCTGAGACAATCCGGAAAACATTTTCTAACGCAACTTAAGAGATTCTGGCTGGACCAAGGAATCTGCTGGAAGCCTAGTTGCCACTGGAGCATCTGGAATCATCCAGCCTGTATAAAAGTGTCTGCTGCATGCCCCTCACACTGGGAACAGCTAGTGAATCCCAACAGGTTCCTCCAAATGGCTGAAAAACAGACCAGCTACATCTGTCAGCAAGGGGGAGTCTTGAGATTTCATCAGAAACAACAAAAATAAGGATTTTACATAGGTGTTCATAATAACATCTCTTAAGGTAAGTGTCCACTGTAATTCCACAAACAATTGCAGTACTCACATCCAGGGTGAGATTTAAAAATCAAATCTCAAATAACAGTAATTTGTTCAGAGCAACACTGAACTTAGCTTTGAATGATCTCCCTGCTCTCTCGTTCAACTATGGGGACCAGCCATTGGCAAAAGAAGCCTAGATGGAAGAGAAAGGCACCCACACAATACATGCACATACTCTCGGATTAGGAGCTGAAGACATGTGTCTGATGGAGACTCATATTCCCCTCAGAAGACAGACAGTACTCCCAAAAGTGGTGACAGAAACTACACAAGGAAATTAATACAGATATTTTTATTATCTTGTCTCTGTATTTCTTCATGAAGTGGCTAACTTTTGTAAAACCCAATGAAGGCCTGGGTGCCTATTACCCAAGTTCCTGGAGAGATGGATTAAATGTGGACAGAAACGGGAACTCTGGGAAATGGTGCACTGACAATAATGGATCCAGTACTAGTGTTGCTGGTGCAGCTGTGAAGTCTTGTTTCCAAAAAGAATTAGAAGGTGCTATCTGGAAATAAGGCCAAGACAAAGATGCCACCCACTGCCAGTGACCAGCTGATAAAGATGCACGACATTTCTTCTACCCAGTATGGTAGAGTTGTTAGTTTTTCATAGCCCTGAAAAAAGCTGGTGCTTTTTTGTGCTCCTTTGTAGCAGCACTATGAGCAATTCTACACAGTTCACAAAGGAATTTATTCTGTGTTCTTATATTCAGGAATAAAGATCCTCCTACTGGCAGGGCCTGTCACAGCTGCCATAAATAATAGGTGGATCATCTGAAAATACAAATGCTGGAACACACAAAAAGATTTAAATATTGAAGAGCTGAACTATTTTCCTACCATGTCGAATCCCCATCACCATGCTCATTTAGAATATACTGTGCAATTTATACAAAATAAATATAACACAGGTAGTATTTTGACTTGAATTTTCATACACACTGAAATAGTATATGCTTTTTATTTCATGACTATTTATCATAACATGTTCATGGATTTGTTAGTCTGTTTAGTGCTGCCTAAACTATCAGAAGTAAAATTATCGAATTTTTATAAATGCTGAACATTATTCTTTTTGTCCCAAGTATCTTTGTAGGATCCTTCATTGTGTATGAGAACATCAGATTGTCAGAATGAAAACAAATTCCTTGGTCACACAAAATCAAAAAACAGAATGTTATTTTCCAGGTTGCTCAGCAATTTGCCTCAATCCTGAACTCACAATTTAGCTCTGTGGACAAGGCAATAATTTATTTGTCAGTGTGCATTCGGTTTTCTGTGGCTACCAGACTGTGTGCCTGCTTCAAAAATTATGTTTGAGGTCCAAAGGAATAGGCTGAATTCCCTATCAGTCTGCATATCATTAAGTAATTTATTGCATTAAGCACACCCAATGGGAGCCACATTTCCTGTGGAAGCATTAGACTGTAGCTTAATGAAACTGGGCAGTTTGCATATCATTAAGCAATTTATAGCAACTGAAAACTGGAACCCAAGCTCCCAAGAAATTAACCACCACCTACATCTATAAGCATTTAGCACAATTAAAGGCAGGAATACAGGGTTTTTGAACAAGGAATCCTTAAAAGATTTATGATCTCTTTAATTATCTCTATTCTCCCATGTACTGTAATAATAATTTGCATTTTAAGGCATTCAGTCTATTTAACAATTACCGAGTCACTAAACAGACAATGATTCTTACCTGACAAATAATATTTTGGATGTAATTCCGAAAAGCTGATTCAAAACGAGCTGAACTTCAATGGAACCAATCCACTGCCGTGACCCAACAAATGCTGCAGGCTTGTCTCCAGCATCAACCAGTGCCTTTCAACACCATGATGAAGAAGAAAAACAAACATCGACAATATACAGTAGGGAATTCCACCACATTTTGTGAACAAAGTTGCTTTAGATATATGGAAATGTGTTCTGAACCTAGCCAACCAAAGGCAGACAGATGGATGTTGAGTCCATTCACTGCAGTTCTGTGTTGGAATCTCCCTTTGAACAGTAATACAGAACAGTGTCCATAAGCACAGACTACAGCCCCAGGAACACAGGCTGATTTCAAGCTGGGATGGTGAACCCTGAGCTGTCTAATAATGGAGTGCATCATTTGGACACTGCAGAAAACACTTCACAGACTGAAGGGCTTGCATTCCTATTCAAAGCATCTCAGAAAAAAAAAAGATATCCATAAAATAGTGCTCTGAGAAAGAGGCCACTGAAATATGCCAAAGGTTAAGGTTTATTTTAAACTCTTCTCCATTCTGAGGCTTATATGTTACATGAAGCACTTGAGAGGGGCCTTTTTTGCTCAGGACACAAAGCCCACCCAGCCTCCTGCAGGCTACTGCCCTCTTCTAGATGCCTAAAAATACTACAAGACTGCACAGACTTCAGTAGCTTTTGGGCTTAGGCGTGGATTGAGAAATGTTCAGGAAATGCAATTTAACCTTCAGGGCTCACATTCTGCTAAGTATAAGGGAAGTTGTTTCACGGATGGAATTAAACTTTGCTAAAAATGTTTAGTAAATAAATATAAGACAAAGAACTTTTCAGTCTTTTTAGGAGACTGAAAATAACTGCAGTATTTCTTGACAGGCACACAATATTAGCTACTCAGGCCTACAGCTTTTCTTCAGTGCTGTTAACAGAAATGAATGCATTTGAATTCAAAACAGAAAAACAAGTGAAGCAGAGTTCAAAAGCAGGAGAAGAGCACTACTCAAAGTGGCAAAAGCTGTCAGTAAATCCATGCGCAGCATCTGGGGACTAATCCAGCTGCCACTGAATACCAAAGTCAGTTTTAAAACTCATTTTAGTATGACACATTGGGTCCTTCATTCTTTTTTCCTTTGGCAAGAACACTGAAAATCTCATAATCTCAGCTTCCAACAGAACATCATTCCAAGGAAACATTTAAAAGACTACTTTGATGAATCTTATTTGTACAGATAATGTCACCCAACACTGACAGAAACATAGTGTGTTAAAAACAGTAATTCAGAACCACTAGTTCAATTTAAGAGCTAAATTAAAAATATAACACAAATCTGAAGTCTAAAATATATGAATTTGGTGTTTAAAAAGTAACCGACACAAACCTTTCAAGACAAATATGCATAAAATAACTCCTTAAATGTTCTGTACCTGTTGAATTTCCTTGTGTGTGGGTATAGGTCTATCCATGTAGCCTTGGTGCTTGAACCAAGAACAGATTGTCTGCAAAGACCGATAGGCACAGCCCCAACCACTGTCGTCAATCCGATCCTGCATATAGTGGTGGTAACTATATACACCTTGTACTAAATAAACCTGCACAGAAAGAGAGAACACAAGAGAATCTGATCACACTTGTGTCAGTTTTCAGAGATGTCGTATGACCTGTCACTTGCATTGCTCAAGTTTTCATCTGGGGACTCCAAATCTTTGGAAGAACTGAAGGGCTGTTATTCACACATAATGACTCCTCCTGATTTTGTCTCCTAACATCTCTGTTCATAGTTTTAGTTTCTCGTCCTGGTTCTGAGAAACTTTTAAAATACATGCTAAAAATGTGTTCATCCTTTTCCAAGAAAATCCAGTTTCTTGGGACAAATACAGCAAACTAAAGCAATGCCATTTTGCACAGAGAAGCCTTTTTGCTTAAAAGGCCAAGCCAATTATTTCCCTTTCTCATCTACACAACACTATCTAAATGACCTCTGTTAATAACAAATCTCAAGTAATATAAAAAGTACTTTCTGACAAATGTTTCACTTTAAACTTACCATACCAGACTCCATACCAGGTGAATTAAGATGTAAGTGTGGATTTCTGAGATATCCATCTTTATATGGTTCATCTGGAAAATGATAAGCATTTGCTCTCTTGAAATATGGTCTGTCACAAGGCAGATTGTATAACCCATGCAACTCCTGCATGCAAGTTCGAATAAAAATAAAGAGCACAGTTCAAATTTTGGATTACAAGAAAGATCACATTGTAAGCAGCAATAAAGACAGACATAATTTAGTTAAGCAAATTATTAAGACACGCTTAATTAAACATTCAGCATGTATATTTACTACTAGATCTCACCCCTCAGAGGAAGCTTGTGCAGGCTTACCTCCTATCTAAAGGGCCCCATATTTTATGCAGTGCTGTCACATATAACGCCTGCTGCTGAGCCCCACTGCAGGTACCATGAGTGACAAGTGTCTTATGAAAGTATGATAGAATACACTATCACAGCAAAGGGTTACAGTTTTTATCTATGTAGTAGTGTAGATACACACACGGAATTACAGTCTTAACACATACTGAAGACATGCACATATGATATACTGAGACAAAGTAAAGATACTGAGCTCATGGCTCAAACAGATTCAGTCTATTTTTAAATCTCTTAAGCCCTGTTTACAACAGAGCAGCCACATTTAAAGAGATACATTGTCTAATTTCACAGAGCTTAAAAGTGAAAGGAATAAAGAGATCATCTAGGATAACGTGTGTAACACAGGTAATATATTTTAGGCAGATGACCCAGCACTGAACCCAACTACACGAGCTGCAGTAACGCTTCCCATCAGTGGGTAGAGTGAACAGCAAACAGCAGGAAAGACAAAAGTGTGCCACCAGTGCCTGAGGCCTCTGCAAACACAAGGCTAGATTAGGTTTTATATACCCAGTAATACTTCACATAGAAGAAAAAATATAAAAAATCTCCACAGCTTCTACATCTCTAAGCAGCAGAATATTCTCTCCCTGTTCTCAGTACCTGTAACTGTGTGACCTGAACCAGGTACACATCTTGATCTGCCACATCACATTTTTCCATCTCATCCGTATTTCTTTTTCTAGATGTGACAAACCAGAAGGCAAAACCGACCAAATCAAGCCAGCTAGGCCTGGTCAGCTGTGAGCCGCAAAAAGCAGCCCCCTCCAAACAAAACCACAAAAACATACCACCCCAAGAAACAAACCAAAGCGAACAAAAAACCCCAACACTAAGCCTTTCAGGACATGTGTCAAAGCCTTAATGTAGTAACATGCTACAAGTAATCTGATATTCTATCATGGAAGTGGAAAAATTCAAAGAATACTGTACTAGAAGTCGAGTTTAGATAAAAACTACCTAAACCAAAACCAAATTTTATGTACTCTTACAGTTTCTATTGTTCCCTTACAAACAGAATCTGGCACATTTTATAAAATAACTTCTAATAAATCAAGCTTCCATATTCAGTGTACTGCTTCTGCTATAATGAAAACAAATTAAAAACCAGCAGTATCTGTTAGTATTTATTCTACATTACTAAATGAAAAGCTTTACCACTGATTCGATTACAATAACTGAAAATAAAAAATCAGGTTCTGTTACTGGTTTTTGTCTTTACCTTCCTGTAACTTTCTAGTTGATCATCTGAAACACCTGTAGGATACGAGATTGTTACAAGCTGATTTTTTCCTGGTAACATGAAGTGAAATTGTTCTGGTACCACAATTGATGTTCCTTTTGCATATTTCATGATACACCTTTCCATATCAGTTAATTGCTCATGAATTGCTTTCACCAGGAGATTTTGTACCCTGCAAAGTAGAGAGAATGTTTAAAAAGTAAAGGAGTGATGGTAGATCATTTTTTCTCACAGCACTGACAGTTCCACAATACACATATGCCTATCTGCAATTGGTCTGATGAACATAGTACTTTCCAAGCTTCCACTTCCACAGAGAAAGGCAGAGCTCATGTGCTCTACTCAAAACATGTCTGCACACAGAAACTAGCCCCTAGTAACTCAGTCCTCTAAAGTGCAGGTAGCCTGGTCTTATATCAGAAACACAACCATTATGAGCATCTGCCAGAATAAAAATTACATATATGACTAAATTTTTTTTTGCATTTTATCTACTCCATTCAGTATCCTTCAGAGTCAAATCCTATGGAAAAAACGTGAGGAAAAAATAGAGTCAGACTCGTTTTCCATCTGCACCTACCCAGCTGCAGCCCCTAATGCAGGGCTGAGATTACAAAGACTCCTCAAGTACACCCCAACCCTCACTTTTATACACCTCACATACTTACAAAAATAGAACATTTTCCCAACTTTCTCCATTCCTTGCTAAGCAATGGCCACGAGTTATCAAATCTATCAGACACTGATAAACCCAAGTTTTTGTAGACAGCAAAAGGATCATGTCTCAAGATTACTGAAGTTAACAGCTGTCTACATGAGCTTTTATTATTTACAGTTAAAATTCTATTACAAAAACACTACATACTTTTCATTAAACTGATGAATGATATAGTCTACTTCATTACTTCCAAGAAAAAGCAGAAATAAAGCTGAAAAATTACAAGTTCAGGATAATGCTTACTTTCCCCATGTTTCTTCTGGAGAAACAGATAAAACAACATCAACTGGTAATGTCATATTGATGTAGTGGTGTTCCTTCTTTTCCCTTTCAATGACTGGAGCGAAAGCAGCTAATGAAGATGTCATTTCCAACATGAGGTCTACATTGACGATCTGCTGCTGCAGAGAATAAAGATACCAGTAGGACATCTCCAACTACACATGCACCAAGAAGGCCAAAGTAAGATTGCAGATATTTGGTATCAAACTCAGTAATGAAATACTTGGGTTAGAAAAGAGCTAGTAATGTTAAAGACAAACTTCTACGTGATTATCTAACATAGGTAGATCTGTCATTCACAGTGAGTCTCAATGACTATAAAAGGACTCTGCCAAGTCATGTCAATGTCTATTTGCATACAGAAAAGCTTGGGAAGGCCAGATCTAAAAATGTTTAAATGACAAATTGTGTTACATAATTTATTAGTGGGATGAGACACATACCGTATCTTGCAACTTTTTGTCCTTTTTTTTGCCAAGCTTTCGTTTGGTCTCATCATCTTGATCAAATCTGAAGTAACAACAGAAAGAAAAATGTCTGCAATATGAAATTAATCTGCTAAACCCCCCAAATTTTAAATATACTCACTGAATATATCGTATTATCTCCTTACATGCAGACTCATCAGTCAGCTCTGGAACAGTGGTCATACCATTGTTAGGCCACACATAGACTGAACTGTGGCAAATTCTTAATACAAGAACCTCTGAGGACAGTTTGGTTGCAAGATCACTGAAAACATATCCTAATGCCTTTTTTGTTGATGCCTCTGAAACACAGTAAGGATACAGTTAGCATAAAAAATGACTCTGCTTTTTTTTAATAGTTGCTGGGCACATGTTAAAAAAACGAAATGTCTTGAAAACCGTAAATACTGTTATGATCAGAAAAATGACATGAACAAAGACTGAGGTAAGATTTCACTTAGCAGATCTGTCTCAAACATTCACACTCACACCTCCCTGAACAAAAGTATACTGTTTCCCTCAGATGCTGTCAAATATGAAGAGCTGAAAGAATTACAGAATAACCTAACCTCTAGCAAATTCTCACATCTGTAACTCTTATAACCAAAGCTCTGTGTACAGACAAACTTTTACATATGGTTATATTTAGTCTTTTGAGTAAATCCTCTAAAGATTCAGTCTGAGTCACATACTTCTGACCTCATATCATTGTTTAGAAATACAAACCAAAAACATACTACATTTTTGGAAAAGCAGGACCCACATTCCAGCCTAGGACCAAATTTTGGCCAACACATACCTGTAACTCTAAGCCACACCTTGGCCTGCCTAAAATTTATGACTGGTACAGTATAGAGACTTGTCTTTCAGAGCTTGACTTGACTTTTTAAGTTTCACCCACACGTTACAACCTGAACCAAAACTGGATACGACAGAGCAACTTTTGCACATTATCCATTTTTTTCCCCACTGAGGAGGTTAAAACCCATTATAAAACCCATAAAACAACAAGTTATGTAAAGCCTAATAAGCTATCAAAGACTATGCTGTAGATCTTTAATGCAAGAACTTAAATTTGGTCACTATTAGTTGACTTCTGCACCAGAAGTCTGTAAACACAATAGTATTAGAAAAGTCAAAGAAACCTGCTCCAAAAGCAACACCTCACTGCCTTCAAAAGGAGTGGCCTGACATATCTACACATGCACTTGGACAATTCAAACATGACTTTGCTTCACAGCGGTCAAAATTCACTACACTGTAAACAAAGTCAAATAAATAGCCCTTCTCTGAGGACACAATTCACAAAATGTTGCTTTGCATTAGGCCAATCTCTTCAACACTTGTGCTCCACATTATGAACTCGAACTTCCTTTTCAAGGTTCACCTGCACAGAATTCAGTGTTTCCAGTAGAGACATGTTCTCTTAAAATGCAGAATGAGCTACGGTTGAGCTAAAGACAGCTTCCTTCCACATTCTGCCCTATGACAGCTCAAGGGCCACTGACAGCCCTGAGCAGTTTTTCTAAAGAGACTATCACATTACTGTAACAATGTGGGACTAGAGGAGCTCCTAACACCATATGGACCCGTCCTTTGTTATGACATGAAACTGCGGTACCCAATCCCACCTCAACACAGTAGCGTGACTAGTTAGCTTGTTCTCTTCTATTTCTCTAGAAAGACAGGACCACAGTCTCAAAACTGTATCATTAATATAATCCTGTTATAATCAAATTTATTGCCATGAAGTTATTCTCTGCTTAGAATTTCTCAGGGTTAACTTTGGATTCAAGCTTAAAAGTGATCCCAATACCATATCTGCAAGTAAGAAATACAGGAAAATAAAATGAGCTAAAAATGTCAATTTAAACTTTATTTCAAATTAAAATAAAAAACATACAATGGAAAAAGACTGTTAGAAAATTTATGGAGACAAAGAATAACTTGTACTTAATCATTACAGGTTTAGGAAGAAGCACTTAGTATCTCATGAAATGCCAAGAAAATAAATATAACTAGTTTATTAATAAAAGTTTATATAAATATTAAGAAATCTATTAGTCTTACAGACACACCATCAGTAGTTGCCAGCTGAAATGCAAGATCCAAGCCTCCTCTTATTCTGAAGAGTATATCCATAGCTTCCAGAATTACCTAAGGAGAAAAAAAAAGCAATGAAAATGAATAGCCATTTCAACATGCCTTCTCTTAAGCCACAACTGACTGCTGTTGTACCACAGTGTGCAAATGCAGCACTGGCAATTACTGCAGCTGCTCAGGTTACAAAAAGCCAGTGAATAATCAGGGAAGTGAGTGGCACAGCAGCACAGAGCTGCTGGAGCCAGCAGCTCAATTACACAGGTACTGCTACAGACAGTCCTTAGAACACATTCCCTACCTAGAAGAAAAGTCTTAATTTTATACTTCTACCATCTAGAAATACTTTGGGTAAAACGTCATTGTTTCAATCCAAATGTCATGTTTCCCATAAGTCTTCTTCCACCAAGGACCACTCTGAGCAGAAAGGTAATTGGGGACATCTGTAAGTGTGCGTTCATCTTGGTTAGGAAATAGGGAAAAGAGGAAAAAAAGGGAGGACACACATACACAACCTCTAGAACTAAGGACTGAGTTTCATATCTGACAGGAGAGCTACTTATGCCAGCATTGAGATCACCCAGCTGTTTCTGCCCCCTTCCAAAGTCCCTGCCCTGTGTCCTCACAACTGCTCACTGCAGACACTTTAACATGAACTTCATCAGAGAACTCATGCAGATGGAAAACCACTCTTTTATTGACTTTTTTTCAGGCAGATCAATTCCCGGTCAAGTTCAACGAACCAGTACAAAACCACCTGGCAGGTCCTCTGGAAGGACAGAGAGGAACGCAAGTTGACAGCCCAGATGAGTGTGGGTATTGCTCAATCTCACAGTCCACAAAAAGAGATGCTTCACAGCCTTAATTGCTCTTAAAAAACCACCATACACCTGTAAGAATAATTACACTTAAGACGCTTTGGAAAGACTTATCCCATAACTGTTTGCTCACAAACTATGAGAAACTTCCAGGTGCGATGATTTTGTTACTCCTGAAATCAAAGAAACAAAACATAGGACTAATTTTCTTTCTATTAAAAGTATTCCACATAGAAATATGCAAGATATACAGGCCTGATGAAAATATAGTCATCTACTACACGTTCAGCTGTGGGTGAAGGATTTTCAGGTTTCTGTGACTCTGCAGTGCCAAAGTTTACTCCAAGAAACAGTTCAGTTCCTGAAGCATAATCTTGTATTTTAGATAACACAGTTATCTACATTAATGGGGTCTTGGAGTGTGGGATCCAAAAGTGCCAGAATATGAAAAAAGTTTGTGTGGGTTGATGTGAAAGGTTTTATTTGAACTATTACTATTCAAGAATAACATTCATGAATAAGAAGCAGAGTGCTGCAAAAGGACCAAGAGAGGATCTGGGCTTTTGATAGCTCATCACAGATGACCACAGAATGAGAGAATGGGCAAGCTGGAAGAGACCACAGCAGGCCATCTGGTCCAGCCTCACTGCTCAAGCAGGGCCATCCCAGAGCACAGTGCACAGGATTGTGTCCAGATGGTTCTTGAGTATCTCCAGTGAAGGAGAATCCACAACCGCCTGGGCAATCTGTTCCAGTGTGCACTGACTGCACAGTACAGAAATTCCTGCTCGTATTCACGTGGAACATTCCGTGCATCAGTTTCTGCCCGTTGCCCCCTGTCCTATTGCCCGGCACCGACAAGAACCTACCCAACATCACCGTGAGCTCTCCCGACAAACCCCTGACTAAAGCCACGCCGGCAGAGACCCCCGCGGCCGGCAGGGAACCCCGAGCTCCGCTCCACACAGCCCGGGCCCCGCGCAGCCCGACACCT